CTTTGTTCGACTTTATGCTCACCAGCATGATGGCGCTGATGTCACGAAATAGAGGTTAAATCGACAGAAAAGAACTTGTATTAACGAGTTCTTTTTTTATATTACTCAAACCCATGAACCTCCTTAATGTCACACGCACACACTTCTATCGGCTGACAATAATTCCAATGGAAGATGACGTAGCAAAAAAAACTATTCACAGAGGCGTTATGTTAGTGAACCGGTATACTCATCTTGGAACCAGAACAGACCTGTAGCTTTCTCCACAGTTGTCTGTTCATCCCATCAATAAATAATTCTATCGAATAATAATTTTCAGTGGCGTAAAAAGACCTTGTTAATATGACGTGTCTGTGGTAATTTCAATAGATAAAAAGTATAGCGTTTTTCCTGATAAATTGTCATTACAGAAAGACAACTTGATCCATAATGTCGTTTACAAAAGATTAGTTTTGACAATAAGTTAAGGCCTTGCACTCTAGTTGTTCCTTGGTGAAAACTTAACGTCAGAGAATGACCCGTCAACAGTTACGACAATAACTTAGATGAAGGCCTTGAACTCTGGTTGATCCTTATGGAAAACGTGACGTCAGAGAATGAACCACCAACCCCGGCTAAGGTCACCTTCACATTGTCAGGGATTGAAACTTTTGGTCAGTCGTACTTCTCGTGACCTATGTTATTGCAAAGCTTCCTAAATAGTTCGGACTTGTATCAGTAAACAATGTTTTTAAAGTAACAGTAATCAGAAACGAATGTATTTTATGAGAAAGAAATGCTGTTTACATTCAGTGTGAAACGAATGTATTTTATGAGAAAGAAATGCGGTTTACATTCAGTGTGAAAAAACTGCAAGTAAAGTTTAGGTAAAGCTTAATTTCACACTGAATGTAAACAGCATTTCTTTCTCATAAAATACATTCGTTTCACACTGAAAGTAAACCGCATTTCTTTCTCATAAAATACATTCGGTTTCAAGAGAATTTTGACGCAGAACTTTTGTTGTTTCAATTTCTTCCAAAACATTTAAGCATTACACAAAAGCTTTGTCTCCAATTGTTTTAAATCACTTAGAACTTCTTAAAACTATTTATCAGCCGTTGTTTCCACCTATTCCGAACCACCCAGAACCTCTTCAAACTGTTTCTCTACCTTTGGTGTTTCCAGCTGTTCCGAACCTCTTTAAACTGTTTCTCAGCCTTTGTTCTTTCCATCTGTGTTGCATATCGTGTTTGTGCGTTCATACAAATGGCAGAAACTCAGACCTACGGGTGGCTGTTTGTATAATCGTATTTATACCTCATTGAAAAAGAAACTTAAAGAAGTTGAACATTTTCTAATTTTTTTATTTTTTTTCTGGGAAGTACTGCACGGGAAAAGTGTTCGGATTGTGCTCTTTAGTCATACGCAACTCTTTGCATCAAAATGATTCAATGTACGGAGCTCAGTTTTCATAAATTCTACTGATATAAACGTAATGTTTTTATATATATTAAAGTGGTACCGTTAAGTGAAAAATAAGGTTTAAGAACTCCAGTTTCACAGTGTTACATTTAAAAATCACACCAATAAAGATGTAATCAAACCCTCACGTACAGTCCTAGTGAAAGTCGTGTTCTTGTTGTGATGGGAGTGCTTTTATTTAAAATTGTTATATTATAAAGAAATAGTTTTTGCACATACCACAGTAATTTTTCTAATTGTCTGAATCTTGAATATTCAAAGTATGAATTTTTATGGAATTTGGTTTGTGGTGAAATTCAATAGATGGCGCAGGTGTTTTGGTTATAAACATAGATACTGACATACACGCTACGTCCTTTATAGTAACATTCTCTGTGTTACAGGTCTCGCAGCTTTAGGGGTCTGGAACACTTTACAACAAAACTCTTGAAATTAATCGAGATTTTTCTCTGTTTTCTAGATACACTCTCGTTACACGTCAGAGCAGTGGGAGAGTGGACAAATCAGCTGTGGACTTATTTCGACAAACAAAATAAGTTTTCTGAAGATGCTAGTTACTATGTCCCCAATAAACAATATTTTCCGGACATAGAAGAAAAGTGCGCTTTTCTAACACGATCACCACCAACATATGACGTCACTTCGGATCGACAAGATGGTCAACAGAAAGATTACATTGACCCTGGTACATCTGTAAACAGTGATGTGAGTCGAGAAAAGGAAACGCACGAAGAGAATAGCCCCAGAAATACGAATAAAGGTAGCAACAAGGATGACATGTTGCAAGACCAGATACAGGAAGGGGCAAATCCCTTAAACGAAGATCGTAACAACAACATGTTGCAAGACCAGATACAGGAAGGGGCAAATCCCTTAAACGAAGATGGTAACAACGATAAATGTTTACAAAAATCAGGCCAACAATGTGTAACTCCAAAGAATCGATATGAAGAAGAAATAAAACTGGAAATAGAAAGATCATCTTCATCTGACTCGACCAGGAGGAGAGCTAGAATTCCCCACCCGAAGAAGAGACTACTTGATGCCACCCTTAAGGAGGGTGGGTTTAGAAAAACCTTGCCAACAGTCGTATTTCCTATAGCCTGGGAAAGTGGTGAGGAGGAGGAGAAACTTGGAGAATTCCCAACATTTTCATGGAATAAAACACTTGACACAAAACACGTCATTGAAGCGAAGAAACCGTTAAAGGTACTCAATTTTCATGTTCAAAAATTCTGGTTCTCTTCATCCTCTGTGTTTCTGTAGGAAACCAGCTCTTTATATCAACACTTAATGAAAGATCAATCTAGTTTTAGATGTTGATAATTTTAAATGTTGAATAACCAGTGTAAAAGATCCAGTTTCTTTTATAAAAACAGAACGAAGGAAGGATGGGTCTTTAATTTCGGCTGTTTAATAGCAAGAGTGAAATAACAATCTATTGTCTTTTGTTTAGATATGACATTGTCTGGTTTGATCTGAAGGAATTGTGAATATATATGTATATATTAGGTGAGCCTTAGCAGCGACCAGATATTAGGTCAAGAAATTATTGTCGCGTTTTAGAACACTCATTAACCACCTCCCCAAAAAACCTACATTACGTATAATAGTTAAACGAACCACCTAAACGTCGCGTTAGTGTAGCCTATATAATGTATAAACTTTAGTATACTCTAATCCATTATAGTGATACAACGAGACACATTCGGCATGTAATGCTGTTTGAATACAAGAAGGGAAACAACGCCTCTGTAGCCACAAATAATATGAAAGAAGTTTATGGAAATGTTTTGAACGTTGGTAAGTGTCGTCGATGGTTCAGCAAATTTAGTTCAGGTGACTTTAGCCTTAAAAACATGGGCCGACATGTTGTAATTGATATTGATGCTCTGAAGGTGCTTGTTGAGTCTAACCCAAGGCAACACACACTCGTGAAATGGCGCTGAAATTGCATGGCTATCATGAAACAATATGTAAACATCAAAGGAATATGGAAAAACTCCATAAAGAAGGTGTTTGGGTGCCTTACGAATTCTCCAATGATCATAGTTTTCAACGTGTGAACGTTGCTTCGACTCTTTTGGCGCGTAATGCGCGTGAACAGAATTGTCACGGGGATGAAAAATGGATTCTATATGCGAATATTAAACGCCAAGAATAATGGTCCAGTTCTAGACAAAAACCACTTCCGACCCCAAAACCTGGACTCCATCCGCAGAAAGTGATGCTTTGATTTGGTAGGACATCAAAGGAGTAATTCATTTCGAACTCA